CTCCTCATGAATCATCTGGCGGAGCTCCTCATCGCTCTCACCTCCCTCGCTGGCCTCTGGTCTGTGGCGCGTCCCAACATGATGTCTCTGAAATACAACATAAAAATATCAGGGACTCACTCGAGTATACTCGCACTTGATAACCCAACCCTGCTTGATTCCTAGTACCCTAAGGATTCCTACTTGGGCTGCACACTGATCCGTTGTTTCCAGTAGTACGGGCCCAATACTACCTTGTACACCACACCAGTATTCATCCCAAGTCATCCTCCAAGGATCGCAAGTCACAAGTACTCTATCTCTTTCCACACATAAACTACCCTTCGGTAGACTCTCATAGCACCTCACTGCTACTTACTCATTCTAAAACATCCCATGCCAGCAGAAATCTTCCTAGGCTAAGGAATCACAAATTAGGCCACTCTAGTCCTAATATGAATACCTAGCCTACTCTATCATGCATAATACATTTCAATATATATATATATATATATATATATATATATCATAACACATAATGTAAGGGATATTTGGGAAATCACCGTTCGGGCGCTGGCTGACCGTAGACACTGTTTCCTTGTGTATCTTCCAAATTCTCTTACTCTTTAGAAAAATTGTTTATTTTATGAAAATATTTCTCAAATCCTCAGTTTGAGTTCAAATACAACCAAAGGTTAATCCGAATCCCTCAAACCAAGGCTCTGATACCAGTTTTTAACACCGTTAAATTTCAAACAATTTTTCATTTAATTTTAATAAAAACATTTCATTTCGAAATCATCCCAAAATCATATATCCAATAGTTTTCATCAAAAACACAACACAAATCCAAATTCCAAGGTCTCAAAACATGTCATCCGCATGTGTGTACGGATCATGTCGGCGTCTTCCCGCGATCATCACTGGTACCTGAAACACATAACACACAAACGGTAAGAATAAAAGCTTAGTGAGTTCCCCAAAATACCACATACAACACACACGCCTTTCCAGGCCATAACTCTATAGGATCTTACGATCCAAGTGTCTTAGGGAATTTCCATCCCATAACTATGTTGACCTTCCGACCCATACTCTGTTGACCTTCCAGTCCATATCATCATACTCATATCATAACATATCACATATATAACATGCATCACATAAACATCATACACATAAGACCTTCCGGTCACACTTAATTACCCCATCGAGTATGGCATAGTGAGAAGAGTCACCTCGCTGATGTCGGATAATCACTCGAGCTCGATTCCCCGATGTATCGCCTCCTATATCAAAAGTTCATCTCTAATTAATACCTTCCTGACTTAGTTTGACTAACACTATTAAGTCAACTCTGGTCAACACTAGTCAACGGTCAACCTTTGACCCAAATTGTCGAGTCTTGCATAGACTCATCGAGCCCATACGTGAACACGAGTCCTTTGAGTCCCTTCTGACTCACCGAGTCACTCACCCAACTCGGCGAGTTATCCACTGATCTGAATCACGGGACAACCCGCTCTGACTCGTCGAATCTGCTCATGGACTCGGCGAGTTCGTTTCATGCACAACCTCAAACACCCTTCTAAGGTCAGATCTATCCCTATAATCCTTACATCTAACCTTTCTACGTTATTTATCCTAATTAAATAAATGTTGGATATGTTTCATTAACTTTTTCTTATCCCTCCAAATATATATCTATATATATAGTACATTGTGCCATTTTTAAGTCTCTTATCACATTATCATTCATCTGCTGTTCTTGCAAAATGTATGTTTCTCTTATGGTTTTTGTTTTTAAGTTCTTAAGAATTGGTTTAAACTGTTATAAAATTAAAAGTGCATATTTCTTGATTCTACACCCGCAATCAAGAGTTGTTTCCTTGATTAATCAAAGTCAAACAGGTATGTCCTTCATGTTTTTATGTATTTTGTTTTTGTAATTCGCTAAATTAAGTAGTATACATTACATTATTATGTTTATGTTTCATTGATTTTACTTCTTCAAACATTTTGATTCTACATAACATACCATATAACCATATGTTTTCCTAATTATATGTGACCAATTACTTAAAATAATGTAGCCACTTTGTGTATGTATGCTTTTAATTTTTATCAACAAATATCATATAGAATAAAAAATTTCTAAAATCATTAATAATGTAATCCACATAAACAATCATAAATAATAGAATATTACCAAATTAATCGATTTATAATGATGTACCTCGTTTTAACTGAGCATTTCACAACATGCTAGCTTCTAAATTTCCTGTCATCAACAAAATAACAAAAAAAATATAAATATAAAGTATGTTACCATAAAAAAATGAAAAATATTGGAGCACAAACTTAGATTGATATCTTCTTAAAATTTATCTAAAACTTTATTTCAATTCAATCAAAGCCAAAGACAGATCCTGGTAGCATAATTTCATAAATTTGAAACTACCTTTCCATCCATGCCCTCTATGGCAGCAGCAGCCCCTTCAAGGGTAGAATATCATACAAAACCAAACCCCTTTGACCAACTGATAGGCCCTGATTCTTTCTTGAATAAGACACAGATTCCATTGATAATCAAACTATGAACTGATAAGATAGATTAGGGTTTTCCCATTCATTCGAGAGCAATGGACTCTCCATGAAGAACAAAGTTCTTTACCAATAAATTCTTAGCTACCCAAAATGATAAGACAAACTAGCTACTTATACTGTTAACAAAGGACCACAAGGATAGACAATAATTCCATTATAGAGAAAGTTGTCCCCCACCTAGACACAAACAAACAAATACTTAAATAAAAGACAATTCTACCCCTGGACCCTGACAATAAAATAACTTTACCAAGCAATTAACTAAAAACATTCCAGGATTAGTTGGGGCTTATCAATACCCGCATCCCAAACTTTCACCTTGTCCTCAAGGTGAAGAAAAGAATGGGTCACCCATGTCTTCCTGTTCAACTGTATAGGCCAATATGAAGTGTAAACCTGAAGAAACTCATCTTGTGCGTGTAACATCAATGGCCTAAGAGAGTATACCAAAATTTCCCCAAACTTCTTAGGATACTCATGCATCTGTTATTGTTCGATTCCAGGCTCTTCATGCTTCAACCCTTCTGTGGTGTTTGAACTAAATTTCTCCCCTTCAAACTCCTTCAAGCGCCCCACGGTGTACTCATTGATGCCATTGACCAAGGATAAAACCTCATGCTCTTTCTTCTTCAACTTCTCCAAGACCCAGGAACTCTCCACAACAGGGTTCACCATCATATTGGGACATTTTAAGGAATCAGAATTCAGCTCAACCATGTTGAAATCACCCACGATTTTCATGGTATTTCTTCCACTAACATCATCATATCTCTCTGGAGTTGTAAGTTGTTTGAGACCTTCTTTTTCCTACTCCAAAGGCTGAATGTTAGAAGGTTTCTCCATCCACGCATGCAAGAGTTTGAGAATCTCCGACACGTTCCATGTGTGGTAGTGTTGTCTAGGTACCATTGCCTTATATTTCAACTGTGTCATATGTTGTTGTAGCAAACTTAACATTTGAGAATTATGAAGGAGAATTGATGCAAGCAACCTTTCAAGATTCAATGTATCAGAAAGTGTACACTGATCTGGTGGTTCCCATCCTGAATTGTTCCTGGTTGAGAATCTAATTCTTTTTGCATTATGATCACCTTTATGCTCATACAATAGCACATTTGTTGGAAGGATGTCGTACTCTTTCTCATTGTCCTTTCCATCTCTTTCTTTAATCTTGGAAGACTTCACATTTGACTCCTCAAATAGCTGGATCAACTCTTTCATCTCCTTGAGGGATTTATCTTCTTGAATTTTCAGCTTTTTGATTTCTTGATCAAGACCCTGCAACTTGTTATCTTTATCCACTAAGTTCTCTTTTATCTTCATACCTTTAGCTTTAGCCTGTCCAAGAATCTCTTTCAAATACACCTTCAGACTCAAAGAGTCGATAATCACACTAATATTCCCAAACCAATATACTTGACCATCTTGGATTCTCCCCACTTCAGGCTCAAACAACAAACTATTATTTTGTGCATGAACCTCAATAACCTCCTTGAAACTCATATAAAAATCAGTTGCTTTTTGTTTCTCTAATGGAAGAGCATAACCACTGTTATGTATACCTGCTACAAACTCTCCCACTGTTAACTTTGTGTCATGGCATAGACATACATCAGATGTTAACGTACATTGAATCAGTTTCCCAAGCTCAAACTTTGCAAAATATTCTGGATTATATTTCGAAAGAACTGATAAACCATTGAAGGCACGTTCTCCAAACCCTTTTTCCCTGATCATGTTAGATAGACATTCATCCATGGAAGGATAGAGGTAGCCATCATATTCAGATAGGTTGACAGCAACATGGAAGCAAGAATTCACACTTGAAGAAAGGGCAAAGTTATCACCTGTGTTTTCAATATCGATACTATGAGGATACGTCCCTTTTCTAGCAACATTTTCTTGAAAAACCTCAGCATCCCGAACATGAGACCAAATTCTATCCCTGAGAACAGATCGCAAGCTTTCATTGGATCGATATGGGGTGAATTTGGAGGAGGTTTTGAACAACAAAAATTGAGCATTAAACCCTAGGTTTTTGGTGGTCGTGATTTTGGAAGAGTTTGACGATGTCGATGCCAAAACGATGGGTATCAAGCTGAAGGGGGAGGTCGTCGTTATTGTGTCGGCCGGTAGAGGGAAGGCGTACATGCAAGTTGGAGAAGTAGTTGATTCACTTGCCCGTGGGTTTATTTTCGTTTTAACCCCCATTGTCAGCGACATAACTGATTTAATTAAACTTGGGTTTGAGTTAAAAACCTTACCCATTGAATCCCTAGTATGAGCAGTATTTTGTGAGCCCAAAGTGTTGATCACAGCCCACGTATCCCTTATAAGCCCAATTTTGTTAAACCCTAGAAGCCTCACTTTTTCTGTTACATCTTTTAACGAAATCGTTATCATGCCCGTTACCGTCACTTCCTGGGAAACGCCTCCTGCTGCTTCCGAAGACTCCATATCAGTTCTTCCTGGTTTGAAATCGAGTTCATCCTTGCCTCATTCACTGCTTCAATTTCCGGTGATGATGGTGGTAATAACGGTGGTGGCGGCGGCGGTAGTTTGTGGCCATTGGACAATGACATCTCCAACTTTCTAGCTTCTTGATTTGCGTCTCTTATGTTCAAAATCTTCTTCGCGCTGCTGTTTTCGACTCGTAGAGGTGGTGGAGACAGTAGAGTTGACGGTGGCTGTGGTGGAGACGGCGACGCTAATGGAGGTGGAGATGTCGGTGGTGTTGGTTGTGTCGGCGGCAATGATGGGAGCTGTAGTGCTGCCTCGGATTCCGATTCCAACTCAATAACTTCCAAGGATTCTTCTTCTTCATCATCAGACTCCTCCTTCTCAATAGCTATCTCCCTCATCATCTTCTCGTTAGCAATTTCTGCCATGTTCCCTATCATTCCTTCTCCAATTGATGCACAAGCTTCTCCTAGCTTCATGACTGTGTTTCCCTGGGGAGTAACAAGTTCAGATTTAGGAGGACCTGAACTTCCCTTTCCTACTCCATCAATTCCTTCTGCTCTCTCAAGCAGTTTAGCCATGGTTGCTCTCATATCATCTTGCCTTTGCAGAAAAGTATCCAATCTCAGCTTCATCTCCTGAATATCTCTACCATGAGAGTTGAGTTGGATCTGTATTACCCCCACATGTTCTTCCATTTTTTTGACAGCAGTAGCTTCGTTTGATTCTCCTCCCATTGGATTAGGAGCTCTAATACCAGTTGATAGGACCTGACTCTTTCTTGAATAAGACACAGATTCCATTGACAATCAAACTATGAACTGATAAGATAGATTAGGGTTTTCCCATTCATTCGAGAGGAATGGACTCTCCAAGAAGAACAAAGTTCTTTACCAATAAATTCTTAGCTACCCAAAATGATAAGACAAACTAGCTACTTATACTCTTAACAAAGGACCACAAGGATAGACAATAATTCCCATATAGAGAAAGTTGTCCCCCACCTAGACACAAACAAACAAATACTTAAATAAAAGACAATTCTACCCTTGGACCCCGACAATAAAATAACTTTACCAAGCAATTAACTAAAAACATTCCAGGATTAGTTGAGGCTTATCACCAACCAGAAGTACAATCTTTGACCACTCTAGCTGCATAAATTAATTTAAAAAAAAAATAAGAATTATAGTTCAGAAAATAGCACCTTTTTAAATCAAGATCATAATTCATGGAGAAGAAATAAACCATGAACAACTTCACTAAAATTTTCAAAGCATTCTTTAAGTCGTTCATGCAGTTGTAGATTTGCTAAGAATTGTATTTAACATCAACTTAGATGAAATCGTTAGACTATAAATGCATAGGCAAAATTGTTTTTACAAGATTTGGATATATAAATACAAATGGGGAGGATGCTAAATAAGCAAAATAGAATACAATCCTATGTTGATTTGTAACTAAAAGCATGTGTGGATAAAAATTTTATGTTTTTAAAATAATCACAGTATCAATCAACATCAAGCACTAAATCACAAACATCTTTTATGAACATGAAGAAGTAGTAATTCCACGAATTGAAAAACCTATGACTAATTTGATCACTTCTTAAGGATATAAAGAGGTCATCAGTGTGAAAATTTTAAGTTAACGTAAATATTTTCTACCTTTCATACATTTATCATCATAAAACGTTGCAACTCCAAGGATCGTTGGATCAAACTTGTATTTAAAACGATTAACTTGCAAGGAAATTAATAAATTAGCGTTTAGCAATATTATTTTTGCATAAGTACACAACATGAATTATTTGAAGAGATTAGATGGTATAAAGATGAAAAGAGATCGAATGGAAGGGGATATACCTGATACGAAGAGGTTGGTAGAAGGTTCAGCTTGCGGCCTCTGATGTTGATTTGCGGTTTGTGAAGGGAATGGGAAGTTGGTAGAAAGGGTTGAGAATAACGATCTCAGCCCCCGGGGACGGGCATCCATCACCGTCATCACAATCCGCATCACCATTTTTGGGGTTTAAGGGTTTTGGTAGAGTCCTTACGAAAGATATCTAGGGTTACTTTTGAACTTCCTGACTAAGCTGCTTATATAACTATGAAAGGTTAAGATTGTTGCAATATATACAAAAAGTCTATTCAAAAAAGAGAAAGATTAAATTGGGAGTTTAGAGCAAGGCAATAGAGAATCTCACCTTCGACGAGTAACCATGATTCGCTTTCGACGAGTAACCATCTGCGATATGCGAGGGAACAACGCGCGGTGGCGACGACGGTTGCTAGAAGATGATCGGCTCATCCAGACGAAGTGGTAATGGAGTTCTAGAGCAAATGTTGGTTGTAAGAATCGATTTGGGTATTTAGGGTTTGATAGAAGATAAGAGGGTGTTAGAACATTACCCAATATAATCTGATATTATTATTGAAAAAATAAAATAATAATCAATGGTAAATATTCACAAATTAACGTATCTACAGAAAAAATAATTAAAATATATATAATAATTGAAAAACAGTTTTCATATGTATATGAAGTTTTGTTTATTCTAACATTAAATTAAATGTAATAATGTAATGTGATTTCTTAAAAATATTTCACATAAACATAAAGAATACATATTTGTATTCCATACCGACATGAATACCTTATTAACTGTATATTACATGTCCATACAGATAATATTTTGGTTTCAACTGCATTAACTGATGTCACATTAGATCCATGAATGCCGAAGCTGATTGGATTCGAATTAGAGTTAGGGAAAATATTTAATTCTTACATTGTTATTTGTGTGTGTCGTATGTGGTACGTATTTGTTTGCGGGATTTAAGGATTTTATTTGTTTTTATAGTTTTTTTGGTATTTCTTTGTTTGTGGATTTTGTGATATAGATTTTTGGTACTCTTTAAGTTTATAAGTTTTACTTTCTTTGTTTGACAATTTTTTATTATATGGTTGTATTTTGTTATTGCAGTTTATAGGATATTAATATTGTTGTATACTAATTAAAAGAAATATTTTACCAAATAGAATTTACAAATATTAACTAAATATAAATCAATCATAATGAATTTATCCAATTATTGAAATATATATATATATATATATATATATATATATATATATATATATATATATATATATATATTCAAACCTGAAAGAACGATACATTGAAAAAATGATTCAAAATTCAAATTATATGTTGACACGGTAAGTTAATACCTAAAAACTGTTAAAACATTACTTCCGAGTCTTCCAGAAACATAACTATATAACTTAATGTAACGATCAATCTCACATATAAATAAATAGTTCAACCCAATCAATTTTCGATTAATATATAAGTATTTTATAAAAAAATATCATTTTTTATTACAATGTGTTATTAAACTAATACAATTATATATTATTATTGTTTACGATTTTACAGTTGTCATGGTGATTGTAGACAATGAAAATAGGCCTAACAATGCTATACAACTTGATTTAAATGCACAGAAAAAAAGGAAAGAATATAATAAGATATATTATGAACGACAAAAAGAGAAGAAGAAAATGAGATGAATAAATAATGGTGAAGTAAGTAGCTAAAATATGGCACATACGACGAATGTGTCTACAGTACAGAGGACCATAACTGATATTACAAATGCAACCCCTACAAGTGTATTGGATGAACCTCAAAGGAAGTCGATTCGGAACATAAATGACTATCAAAGACGCAACGAATGAAACTCAATGAGAACATCTATTCAAACTCTTCAGGATGATCCATATAACTTTGTTTATGATGGTGTCCCCAAATAACATCATGTGTTGAAGGTACAGAAAGCATGTGTTCATTATGGAGCAAAACGATTGCAATTTGAATTCCCTACGTTTTGTTGCGTGGATGGTAAGACAAAATTGGCACATTCTTCTATACCTGATGAATTACTCGATCTCTTCACATCTAGAAACGAATTAGGCAAGACCTTTAGTCAAAAGATACGTGCATACAGCTCAAACTTTTCATTCGCATCAATGGGTGTCGATGTTTTATAAATCAATGAACGACATGACATATGGAGTATACACTTTTTGTGTGAATGGAGGAATGTATCATAGAATCGATCAGTTAATCCCAAGGGATGGAATACCTCGATACGTACCGTTGCACTTTTATGATGCTGATTATGAGATGTCACATAGACTACAATGGAAGAATATTAATAAACAAATTTCTAAAAAGTTGATTCGTATTCTTGCTACAAACCCATACGTGCAAGTATTTCGAACACTTGGTGATTTAGGGCCGCTTGACAATTACAGAGTCACGTTGAATGCATCAATAGAACTTGACCAGAGGTTATACAACTGACCGACCACATCCGAGGTACCGTAATATAATGCTTGCTAATTATAAAATAAAAATATCATCTATTTCATAAATATGTGCATATTACACACCGTATTGGGTCAAAATATGGTTTATACTTTGCTTTTCCCGGCGATTATATTTTTCTGTAATATTTTTGGAGTTTACGGTCATGTTTACGGTTTAGTTTACGGTTGTAAACACCTTACGGACGTAAACCCCTTTACGACCCATGTTATCCAGCCCATATTCTCCATGTATATATATAGGTGTTAGGGTGAGTAGTACAGATTGATAAACCCTAGAGAGTTCATGGTCTAGAGAGAAGACAGTTTACGGCTAAAGAACATTTTGTATGTGTGAATCTTTTGTATCTGGAACTTTAATTCTAATCAATTCATTCAGAGATTCATATTATTCTTCTTCTCCTTCTCTTCTATTTGATCTGACATCATCCGTTTGATTGGGATTCCGCACCATCAAACGGATCTGACTGATACATAGGCAAATTAGGGAGTTATCAGAGCTTGGTTGTATCAGTCATTTTGTCAGATTTGGAGCACTATTTTATGTTATTTTCGAAATACTTTAGCATATTTGGATAGATCTCTGAAAATTAAGGGGGGTTTCTTCTTTGCATTTTTGAAAAAAACAAGTTTTTGCTCGAGTTTTTGAGCAAAAAAAAAGGTGGAAAACATCGTTTTTTTAAGGGTTTACGGCCATTGAAGGGTTGATGGCCGTAAACAGTTTGCGGCTAGGGTTTCTCGTCGGCGGTGGCTAGGGTTTGGGAGTTCACGGCCCGAGGTTTACGGCAAACAAGAGTTTGCGGCCATCGGACAGTTCACTGCCCAGCCATTTGCTCGTTCAGCATCCCAGGTCTCGATCAGCAGGAGCCTCTTACTCGTTCAGCACATATTAAAAAAAAAAAAGGGAACTAATTTGGGGCTGCAAAGGATCGAACACGCGACCCCTGGTTCCTCCCTTCAGCGCTTTCCCAACTCATATAGCTTGCTAGATGATAAACTCCTTCCGAATTTAATTCATAAAGCGATTTTTTCGGTTCAAATTTCACATTTTTTACACTTTTTACCCCAAAGCTAAATTTCTTTTAATTTCAAATTCCTTTTTCATCCAAAATATAAATAAATAAATAAATAAATAAAATTAATAATAATAATAATAATAATAATAATATAATAAATTTAATTAATTAATAATAATTTTTTTTTCTTTTATTTTTTTGACTTTTTATTTTAAAATTTTGACTTTGACTCTCAGGTTTGACATTTGATTTTAAATTTTGACTTTTTCGTTTGACTTTTAAATTTTCAAACTTAGCTTTCGGTTTGACTTTTAAGTTTGATTTTTTTAAGTTTAACTTTGAGTTTGACCTTTTAAATTTGACTTTTAAGGTTGATTTAAAAAAAAAAGACA